CTATCAATGAGGTCTGTCAGGGGTGACTAGCTTACAAGCCTGGCTAAACAGTTGCAAAACTTGCCAGGTCAGGTAGTTGGCACATGTATACTTCAATTGTCTTCTGAACTATTGTCCTCAAGCTCGGCGTTAACGTTACCATTATCCTGAATGCCAAACCGACATGATCTTAGTCTAAGAAAGCAAACCATCAATTATAAACAAATGCCTGCGCTGGGCACAAAACAATTTCCTGCGCCTTCCAGACTGCCTATACAATATGAAGAACATCTGAGATGAAAAGGTTCAACAGGCCACAGATGGAGAAGCAGTGTCAAACCCCCATTATTATTATTCAAGACCAGGGCCACCTTCTCCCAGAAACATGGCCAACCAATGGCTCACTTTTATCCAGGGAAAGGGCAATGGTCCTTGACATTTCGGAGTTCAGTCAGAAGTGGAAATATGTCACAACCAAAGCTACAGACTATTGTCTCTTGTAAATTCTCATAACTGACCATCTACTTATTCTATCCCTGCTCAGTTGGTGCCAATGAAAAGTTGCCTATAGCTGAACTCCAGACCAGCACCCACATGTGATACATATACATGAACCGCCTTACCCACATGCTTCGTCATTCTGCTCAGCTGGTTTTGTGACCAAGGCACCCCTGCCACACAGCATAGGGTATACCTGTAACCTTACTATACAACAGTTAAAGCAATGATGAAAAGGCAACGTATAAGAGGTCGGCCATCTATACACACACACTGGAAATGGGGAAGAAAAAATGAGGCATTCCATGATAACCATATTGTAAAAGGTCAGGCAGTAAAAATGGATGAAACCAAGGCAATGGAAGCCAACATGTGATCGATGTATGGTACAAAAAACTCAATCTACATAAAAGACCTCCAACATAGACCAGCCCTTTCTTCCAGTGTGCAGACGCCAGGAGGTGCCCGGCTATGCAAACTATAGACAATTTGCTAGAGCAGACACCCAGAATAAAATTTGCCTGAGCTGACCTCAAGATCAATGGGAACTGGTAGAGGTCACAAGGCCTCATCTGTGCCCATTGACTGCTATGGAATGCTAAGCAAGGACAGCTACACACACTGCTCCTAATAGTTTATTACAGATATTCATATTACGCCAACTATTTACACACTGAACAATGACATCAGTCCCTGTCCCCAATCTAAGGTCCCCTCCTCACATACAGTCAACTTGGGAACCAATTATCCGTCCAGCATGTCTTTGGAGTTCTTCCACATGTACCTGTTGGTGATATGAGGCCCTATGGTCAGATAGTCATTTTCTTCCGTTACATTGGGGTTATACAGCATTACCATTAAAGGGCTCATTCATACGGGCCACAAAACTTCACCAGTTGGCCGGCCAAGAAACTTCCCTCCCTTGTGTGCAAAGAGCCGCGGCCTGATCGGTACCCATTACAAATGAATAGTTAGCACCGCTGCCGATTGCATGCGACTGCTCATACCAACAATTACATAGGGCCTCTGACCGACACTAGACTCAGGCAGTTTGCATCCAAGGCCGGCGTTTTAGGGTGCAGCTAATCATCTAGTTCAGGGGCAGTCAAACTTGGGACTTCTGTCTGTTGTGGAACTACAAGTCCCATGAGGCATTGCAAGCATCTGACAGCCACAAGGATGACTCCCAGAGGCATAATGGAATTTGTAGTTTCATCACAAGTGTAGGGCTAAAGTTTGGCTATCCCTGGCTTGCTATGTATGCGGCTATAGCACAGAGGGCTGCTGCGTCACTGTTCAGGTATTCCGACAGCTGCAGGTGCCAACCGTCGAGACTATGCTCCTTCCGTTCGGTGGAAGCAAAAAACTTTTGCATCGAGATAAATCAAGAAGTGTCTGGCCAACTTTAGACCCATCATAAACAATACTGGGCTGACTGGCTGAAATATTTACGTGAATGGCCGAGCGATGTGTACAAGCCACACAAAAGATTCACCCAAGCCAGGGGTGGTCATCTCTGACCCTCCAGCTGTGCTTTAACTACAAATCCCAAAATGCCTCTGCCACTGGGAGTAATGCCTGTAACTGTCAGTCCTACAATGCCTCATGGGACTTGAAGTTCCACATCTGGAGGGCCAGAGTTGCCCACCCCTGAGCCAAGTGTGTGCCACTCATGCATTAGGAGACAAAAACAAACAAGCAATCCCAAATGTTGATCCCCGCTTTCCTCGCTGTGGAATATGAATCCCCCCTTACCGCACATGTGCAGCAACAGAACGTCCGCTGAGTCAGGGAGAGAGCTGGAGACTAGTCCCACCTGTGCAGAATTCATGCAAAGGCAGCAAATCTCTCACCGCATCTCACTTTAATTTCAATGAACTGTACAATGGGTCTAAAATCTGTTATATATACACAACCTAAAAAGCATTGCGAGACAAAGCTTAGGAGCCAGGTCGCTCCTTACAAATGACAGCCGGCGCCTAACTTTTGAGGTTGCTGTGAATGGAGGCAGCTCCTGGATTGGACAGGCTGGCTCCCGAAATCTGTATGGATTATCAGTTGTAAGATGATCCCCCCACCCCCCCAATACACATCCAGATCCCCATGTGTACAATCCATGCCGACTCTCACAGAGGAAACACAAGCCACAATGAGCTTCTAAGCAAACATTTTCTCCATTCATCAAATAAACATAACCGTACATCGCGCCCGCCTACACGCCAAGACTACGACCCAAACCCCAGGAGCCAAAGTTGTAAAAAAGGACGAAAGCTGCAGGAGCGTACATAGAACGTACACAAAAAGGAGCATCCTCGCTCTCACCTTGCCGGGAACGGACATATGGAGGGGGAAGGGGGTAAGGACAGGTTCATATGAAGCCAGGTGGGGCTCGCAGCCAAAATTCAATCCGGCGTGTAAACAAAGAGGTGAAAAAGAAAAAAGAGTGCACAGGCTTTAGCGGAACGCAGAGGAGGGAAAACATTCATGGAAGGAGGACAAGAAAAAGGATGAACGCAGCAGCACAAAGGACCCGAAAGGAAAAGAGGGGGGGGTGGGAGGCTATTGAGTGATATGCGGAAGAGATACAACACCAGGAAAGTGCCATCAGCATTGGGAAGGAGTAGAAGTAGTACGTGTGGACTACGGGGGAGGGGGGAGAAGAAAAAAAAATGAAGCGCAAAATGACAGCAGGACAGAGCGCCGTGATCACAGACTTCTAAAAAGACTTAAAGGACACAAAATGTAACCATGCCTGCTCCTTCCCAAACCTACAAAGCGGCGTGCTGCTGCAACCTCGTTACCAAAAAAAACAACAGACTTGCCCGTGCCGTATGTCTAAGAGCTAGTTATGACTCGCTGTCCCATCTGTCACATGACACATAATAAATACAAACTCCGTTCAGACCCGTACACCCCCTCCCCAGCATATAAAGACATAA